TCCGTCGTACCGATTTTGACCCCAACAAAGAATAAGATGAAAAGAAAATACTTTATTGCTATAAAATAGACTACAAGAACTTAGATCAAAACTTTCTGAAAATATCTCGATGTCTTTCTAGGGCTCATAGGCATAACTATAAATATGAGTACAATTAGGTTAAAAACTCGTCAGGGGCAATCTTGTAATTTGGTGAGAAATTGGGCTTCAAGTCGGCCAAGTAAATCCTGCTCATCACGCTCTGTATCGATCGATGGTACATGGTGTACATCGATTGATGGCGTATCTCGTCTTCAACTTCTACGGAATCTTCATCGATCGATTACACAAGGTGTGTGTCGATCGATATGTGTCTCTCAATGTCGGATCTTCATAGTCATCTTGTAAAACTCTCCTTTAAGCTCCATAAGGCACCTAAATCATTACTTTACTACAAAATGCTCCTGAACCTGAAAACATACCTAATAGACTCCAAAACATAGATAATTATTATAAAAACATATCAATACCATGACCAAAAACGGGTCAAAATCATGGTATATCACGGCTCTTCGAAAGCAGCTTCGTCAGATTTTATATAGAAGTAGGAGCACTGTCAATTCTTGGTCTTTGTGGGATGGCCGGAGAGGATATGCAACCCCGCGCGAATTTGCAGTGCGTACAAATCACACGGCTTCGGCTGTATTTGCGTCAACTCCTCAAAAATCTGAACGCTCATCGAAACATCCACTTCAGCCGCCATCACCATCAGATCAACAGCAAACCTCATTACCCCATTCATCAACTGAGACATCGGAACATCCCGACGCGCACAATACGAAGTAACCAAACGAGGGATAGGAAACCATAACTTCGAATCCCTTTCAAAGAAACACTACAAGAAAAATGTCCGTTCTTAGCGTAAGGAAACAGCTATCATATGCTATTGTTAGCATTATTGAAACCGCTATGTCTGCCACAGCTATAATAGGTCCCCCTTATATGATAGCATTTTTTAAAAAGCTATTATATCAGAGACATATAGTAGCGTTGTTTTTAACTTGCTATGGTTAGTCAAAACATTATAATAGCTTTTGTGTTGAACGTTATCATATATTCTATGATAGTGATGTATCAATGCTATATATATTATCGATTATGTGCTATAGAACCATTTGATAGAAACATATTTTGTTGCAAATTAGATTTACATAAAAAAATAATATTCAATTTACATTTCATTAATAAACCAAAATGTACTTAGTACCACAAATATCTCTACATTTTCATCAAATCTTACACAAACATCATTACAAAATGAGAAGTAAATATGAAAAGGACTAGAAAACATGGAAACTAAATCAAAACCTTGAACTCCCATTTTTGTTTCTTGACCTTAGCCTGTATCTCTCAGAGAAACCGTAAGGGATGCACCTCAATAATATCCCATCACAATAATATCCCAAGATAGTATTCCAAGAACCTGTAAAAAACAATTAAAAGGGTTCAGCTGTTTGAGCTTTTGAATTAAGAACGAATCACACATTCACTTCATACTCTTTTAAGTTTAAGAGATGTATGCTTACTTCTTTATAACATACAAGTTAAAGAACGTAAGAACATTTCAGAAATATCTCACCTTAAGCTCTATCCAATGTTTATAAAGGATCAGAACTAATAAGAAACGAAAGAAAATTGATAAGAGGAGACACTTACATCTAATATATGGTCAAGGAAAGGAATTCCAGTGGATCTACCTGCAACTGGAATCAGCAAGAACAAAAGAGCAACATGATTACTAAAAGATGAACAAAAACAGGATAACGGAGTATCATTAACAGTTATGTTTTACAAAAGAATATAATATCAGAACGCTGCAAGATAGTTGGAATTGGGCTCCCGTTATGTAAGGCAGAGAGGGAAGGATAACCAGACTCTAATTTTTATACATGAGAATGGAGTATCATCTTTGTTTCTGACCACCACTGTAAACAATAATAACCAAACTCTTAATTTTTATAAACACTGTAATAAGGAAAAACAAATCATTGTGTCAATCAATTAACATAAATCCAACCTGCATATAATCACACATGCCAACAACATCCAACGCAGTAACAACCCTAGACTTAAATTCTTCTAGACTCATGTCAGGATAGACCAAAAAAACATTTCAGACTAAGCCACAACGATCAGAATTGAAAACGAAACTGTTAACTGATGTATTAGCAGTGGCGAGAAAAACAGATTGCTAATGTTCATAAGGTATGATCCTTTTTAACATAAAACCAAAATAGATGATCAATATTGTAAGAGTGAAGAAACATAAACCTGATCAAGATTCCAACCGTTTCTACATTTTCTCTTCATCATCCTGTATTTTATTTCTACATCATCCTTATTATCACTTCTATAACCCGTTGCTCGTCCTACAAAGCCATTCAGTCAAAGTTTTACAGAGAAAGATTACTATGAATGGAGAATTATATCTTACAACTTGTTATACGTCTTTTCCTCAAGTTTTTACGCAGAAAGAAACTCACCAAACTGCTCAAATGAATATAAAATTTGTAAGGCCGTAAAGATGTGATTTTTAAAGCTTTCCTGAACCTAAGCTTAACGAAGAACAAGGACATCACAATCAGCAAAGGTTACCAATAACAAACCAACACCCACATTATCAAATCCAAATCTCGATACATAAAGGTTCAGACTTCTCTTCCTGCTACTAAAATCAATACTAGGAACAAAAAGGATACTCTTTAGGAGCCTGAAGTGGTTGATTTGCAGCAGCATTTGGAAAGTCCCTTGCGGTCATAAAAGATTTTCTTCCCGAGATGCAAAAAAAAAAAAAAAAATCATTGTTCTATGAAACTCATTATTCAGACATGGTTCTTTAACCAATAGAAAAAAGTCAAGAACTCTCAAGACAAGATCAGGAAGTAAGCAAGGACCTGGTGAAGAAGTAAGCAAGAATGTACAAGGTAGAGTAATCATCTCCATGTTTGTCTTCTTCTTCTACTTTATGTTTCACTTCTTTAACTTCAGAAACATCACAAACTCCTATACTGCAAACAAGAGGGCAAGAAGAACTTGTTAAGCTTTAAAGAAAAGTAAAGAGTTTTGTTCAAAACAGACTCTAGACGTACCTGAGTTCCTCGCCTACCTTGTCCATCCAAACAACTTGCTTCTGTCTTCTCTCGTTTTGAATCTCCGGCTCTTCTTCTTCTTCTCTCCGTCTCCATCTCCTCCCTCTCCTGCAATCAACACATAGCACAAATCCATCTTCAAGCTTACTGTACGCCATCAATCAGATCTCTTAACATAGGAATGAGCTTGCTCATTTCTCTATATGAAGAACACGAGAGGGTAAACTAACGTACCTTAGACTGGAAGCTCGAGAGTCAGGTTGTATCTTCCCTTGTCTCTGAACCAACTCCATCTTCTGCCTTCTCTTCTCGCTCGACTCAAACTCCGGTACAAGCGGCGACAGAGCTCGAACACAGCGGATCTACGAAGCAGAGGCGAAAACGGCGGAGACAAAGCAAGACACGACCCAACGGAAGCTCTGGTTATCCTAGACGAAGCAAGACACAACCCAAGCTTTGTCTCCTCTCTATCTCTGTTTCGCCTCGCCTCTTCTCTGTTTTCTCTCAGACTCAGACCCTGGGAAAGAAAGGAAATTGAAAAAAGTAGGGTTTCAGTGACTCTTTTTTTTTTCTAGTCTCGTGGTGACTCTGATTTTATTTTATTTTATTTAACTTAAGTAAAGAAATTGTTATCGTAACGAGTGAATATTTGGCGCTCGTGTAATTTTCATCATCTAAGTATGGCGGTATTCGTGATTTTTTTTCCCCGCTCATAAAATTTTCCACAATAGCATTAGTAATATGCTATTAATGTTAACCAAAAAAAATTTTTGGTCTTTCATAACACTTACGAAAACCGTGCTATCATATACTGCTATTAATACCACTTTTTCTTAGAGTGAAAGATTCATAAACGCAATGAAAGCCTATTGGCGGAGTCCATGGACGTCGGTCAGAATGCGGAATGATGAACGTGACGCCGTACGCCCTATGCCCCCTTAACAATGCAGCTACACCTTTCTCGGTAGACCACGTAGGCGATACATTAGCCCAGTTCTGCTCCTTCATCTTGGACGGTCGAATCTGACTTAAAGGGATATCCGTCAACTGTTCAATCACCCCATTCATGTGGTAATAATAAGGAACCGATCACCGACTCGTCGCAGACCCCATCGAAGATCGCTCGGCCTCTCCACACCCGATTTCGCGCTGTTTTGCTTCACCCTCTGCCGCGGGATCACCCGCAACAACCGGAGACCGACTGACGTCGTCTCCCACCGCGCCACCGCGTTCCAGATCTCCCAGCATAGCGTCGCTTATGGAGGCCGGATATCCCTCGACTTCCTCCGCGTGAACCGAAGATCGCTCGATCTCACTCACCTCCAACCAATCTTCCTCCAAATCCTCTAACCCAGCCATCTCCACATCATCAATTAAACATCGCCCATTCCCGTCTTCCCGAGAAGAGCTGCCGACGCTGTCTATTCGGCCCAAATCCGGGCGAGCGTCATCAATCGAGGATCCACGGAACGCTCCGGTTGCTGAGCTCCGAGAATTAGGTTCGAGCGGCCGCTTCCCCAACGGACTTGGGGTAGATCGAACTCCTTTCCCATTCTCAGCCCAAGTCAACCTTTTTCTAGAGGTACTCATCGTTCGGCCGGCTTGAAAAAATCGCAGATCTATCTCGAGGGAGAAAAAGCGCCAGATCGAAGTCGCTTATTCGTCGGATTGAAGTCGCATAGTCACTTCCGGCGGCGAGCAACAAAAGTTCACTGTTTTTAAAAAAAAATAGGGAGAGAGAGAAGAAAAAGGAAAGAGAGGAGAGAAATAAGAATACCTTGGGGGTGGAGAAGAATGAAAGAAATAAGAGGGGAACATTATATTTATAAGGAAGCTCACGGAGATCGAGGTCAGAAGAAATCATTAAACCTAATGGGCCTAAAATACCCATTAGTTTACCACCAAAACGGTTGCCCTTTCGTTTGAAAATTAAACGAGACGAGGTCGTTCTAAATCAAGACGACGATGAATTGGCCTAAGGAGCGACCAGTCGAACGCACGGAGTTACATATATACACACCCGGCCGATCGAGATCAAATCAGAAAGAGGTAAGATGGAACGAGTGGTGAACCAGGTATATAAGTAACTTAAGCCTGTTATTCTCTTCACCTTTCATTGACATTAATGTTTTACTTTGTCTACATTCGTTAGTTTTTGAAAGATTCGGAAATCATAAGAGAAAAACATGATTTGGGATGCTCTACTCCTTCAGCAAAATAAATAAATAAGTCTCTTGTTTAAATATTTGGGATCTCGACGATCATAGTGTTATCATTTGAGTTTTCCAAACATAAAAATAAAAAAGATGTTCTTCACTGATATCACTCCTAAAGCACCATCGGGAACATATTGAGAAAAACTATTATATATCAATATACATTTTTATCAGAGAAAGGTAGCAATGTGTTATATGTATATATACATATGTGTTTTTTTTTTTACAACGAAAGGCTGATCTATTACTCAAGCTTGAGGTGGTTTAGGTAACCAGACCGGAACATAACAACCAACATAATAAAGATCTCGATAGAAGGATCGAGCAGTTTTAGCCAAAGAATCAGAAAAACCATTATGTGTCCTAGGAACATAGAAGATCTTGAAATCTAGAAGCAAATCCGCAGGGTCATGAGCTTTTCCAATTCCATTGAGAAGCTTGGCCATTCATGAGGATTTCTGAGCATCGCTATCATCTCCTTGCAGTCCGTCCCAAAGCTCTGACAAGGCGAATGTTGAAGCATGTTCTCCATTGCCCACCGCAGTGCTTGTAGCTCAGAGTGCAGAGCAGACTCCACTCGATTAAAATTATGCAACCCCACTACAAGAAAACAGAGCGATACTGAGGGAATTTCCGAGGGAACGATGGTTCCTCGGAATATACCTAGGAAATTCCGAGGAACACAATTTCCCTCGGAATTTTCCGATGAAATTCCGAGGGAAAAAAGTCCCTCGAAATAAATCGAGGAAAATCCGATGAGAAAATATAGCCGTTAGTTAGCCGTTGTGGTATTTCAAAAATTCCGAGGAAATTACGACGGCAACGGCTAGTGCCTCGGAATTTCCTAGGAATTTCGTGGGAATTGTCGGCAGATTTCATCTATACATACAAGCACCCCTCATCCTCTTCATTCACTCCATATCTTCATCCTCTCTCATTCTATTTTGCACACACGAATCTGACTGAAAAAAACATGTCTTCTTATAATTATCATCGCTCGTGGATCGATCGACCTCATATGGATCCGAACACGAGATTGCTTACGCCAGAATTCGAAAGTGGTCTAAAGGAATTCATGGGGAAAGCTCTCAACCAACCGGAAGCTGAAACGGGTATGTTAAGATGTCCTTGCTCTACTTGTAAAAATAGGAAGGTTATTAAANGTCTTCTTATAATTATCATCGCTCGTGGATCGATCGACCTCATATGGATCCGAACACGAGATTGCTTACGCCAGAATTCGAAAGTGGTCTAAAGGAATTCATGGGGAAAGCTCTCAACCAACCGGAAGCTGAAACGGGTATGTTAAGATGTCCTTGCTCTACTTGTAAAAATAGGAAGGTTATTAAACAGTTAGATGTTCGGACTCATCTATATATTCGAGGGTTTACGCGGAGTTACAAAGTTTGGTATCATCATGGGGAAACTGGTTATGAATATGGTAGTACTAGCGAACCTCAGCCTGTGGTTAGGTTAGAAGAACCAATTAGAACGGGCGTAGATTATGGTGTAGGTACTGAGCAGATGGTAAATGATCATTTAAGAGGGGAAGATTTACCCAATGCAGAAGCTAGGAGATTTTATGATATGTTGGATGCTGGAAAGCAACCTTTGTACGAAGGTTGCAGAGATGGTCATTCAACTTTATCATCTGCAACAAGACTGATGAGCATTAAATCCGATTATAATTTGGCTGAAGACTGTGTGGATGCGATTGCTGATTTTGTAAAAGGTGTTCTACCTGAGGATAATTTTGCCCCTGGTTCATACTACGAGGTTCAGAAATTGGTAGCTGGTGTTGGTTTATCGTATCAGGTAATAGATGTATGCAGGGATAACTGCATGATTTATTGGAGGGAGGATGAGCAGCTGGATACATGCAAGTTTTGTGGGAAGGCTCGTTATAAAGATACGAGTGGAAGAGTTCCAGTGCCATATAAAAGGATGTGGTATTTGCCTTTGACGGAAAGGTTGCAGAGGTTGTATCAGTCTGAACGCACAGCGCAACCAATGAGGTGGCATGCGAAGCATTCAACGGATGGTGAGATTAGACATCCTTCAGATGCAAAAGCTTGGAAGCATTTCCAGTCGACCTATCCAGAATTTGCGTATGAGAGAAGAAATGTCTACCTTGGATTATGTACGGACGGTTTCAGCCCATTTGGGAAGCATGGGAGACAGTATTCTCTATGGCCAGTCATTCTCACACCATACAACTTACCGCC